CAGTGCTAGCAGCTTGTGCTGCCGCCTGCTGTTGGCACCCGGAACTGCAGCTGGGGGTGGAGTATGTGCAGTGGCACTGATATGCCCCACTCACTGCTGCCCTCCTGTGGACAATTCCCAAACTACACCTCCAGGAGATGAGACAGTAAAGAGGAAAAATCCCAGATTTGAAAGGAAAAAGAGCTTCCTGAGCCAAATATCAGGATTTTCTTCCATAAATAAATGGGCCGTGCTGCCTTTGTCCCCATTTATCTATTTTATTGTTTATCCTTCTTCATTCTGTTTCTTTTTTTTTTTTTCCTCCCAATGCATGTTCTCTTGTGTTACCTCAGAACTTTGCAACTAGCCCCAGAGTGATTATTCATCCTTTTTTAATTGTGATGAACAGCCTTCACCAGTTCCCTCAGCCCTTCCTGGTGCTTCAGACCCTTCCCCAACTCCATCCCCTCGCTGGACACGCTCCAACCCCTCCAGGTCCTTTCTGAAGGGCTGCAGTGAACGAGGAAATAGGGAGGAACATTTCTCCAGCATCTCTTTGAAGATCAAGGTTTGAAAAATAAAGCCTTAAGTTGCCTCTAACAAAAACTCCAGGATTTCCTTTATTTTAGGAAATGAGGCGCTCTGCAGGAAAGACGTTAAAGGAGCTGTAGCAGATACATCAGGTGACCCAGCAGCAAATTTTCGGAAACTTTTGATACACCAGGCAAGCTAGGATCATATTTCTGATAAACATTTGATACACCAGGTGAGCAAGGATCATGTTTTTGATACATCTTTTATACGCCAGGCAATCAAGTGGCAATTCATTGCTACATCAGGCGAGGCAGCCAAGGAACCTAAGGAGGTGTCCCTGACATTGCCACTCCCAAACCCCTCTATGGGGAAGTGCCCAAGTGGCCCCAGACACTACCCAATCTCTGCTGTCCATGCGGTCCTGCACTGTCCTGACAGCTCAGAGCCATTGAGGGCCGGCAAGGCCTCAGTCATGGCAGGGCCACAGTTGAGGTACTGGTCATCAAAGGAGTTCTGGGCCATGTGCAGGGGCACCACCTTGATGTCCGCAGTGGCCACAGTCATTGCCAGCAGTGCCAGGGTGTGAGCCAAGGGGGCCATGAAGGAGAGGCCACAGGGACCAGTGTGGGACACTGTGGGACATAGAGGGAACACAGAGGACAGACTGTGTGACACAGGGAAGACACTGAGCGATACCAGGGGATGCTGAGGGGACACTGCTGGGTACCAGGAGACACTGATGGGACACAGGGGGATGCGGAGGGACATGGGGAGGCTTCCTTGGGGAGGGGCTGGGGAGGGAGAGTGGGTTCAGCCCAGGAAGAGGAGGCATCCCTGGCCAGGCAACCCCAGGATATTTCCTGGAACCCTGATTCCAAATCCTGGGGTCAATTCTAGTGGCTCTGGTGTCCTCCAGTTCCCCCCCAGGGACCCCAATCCCACTCCCACCGTTTTGGGTCATTCCCCTGGGGTCCTCTCAGCCCCCCCCCAAGACCCCAACCCAAATCTGGGGTCACTCTCTGAACTCCCAGTTTCCCTCTCAGCCCACCCCCAGACCACAACCCCACTCCCAATCTGGTGTCCCCTTTGGGGTTGTTGGAAACGATACACCCCAGGACCCCAGCCCCAATCCCAGGATCACCCTCTGCCCCCTGCAGAGTCCTCCAGCCCTCCCATGGCCCAGTCACACCCCAAGGTCCCCCCTGCTGCCCCCAGAACACTGTGAGCCTCAGTCCCATGTCCCCACTGTCCCACAGCTTCCTGAAGGACTCCAACCCCACATCACATTCTTTCCCAGGGTCCCCCCAGTGTCCCCCCCAGGGACCCAGTCACAATGCCAAGGTCCCCTCTCTCCCCTTCCAAGTGTCCCCTGGAGTTCCCCCAGCCCCTGATACCAAAATCAGCCAGAGTGAACTCCCTGGTGGAACTGGAGGCATCAGAGAGCCAGAATTCTTTATCGGCTCAGACTCACTGCAGATCCTTCCCGGTCCTGCAGCTTGGTGGGACTTTGCTACTTCTATCCACTGTACTTTTAAATATTTATTAAAATTGACTTATTAGCGAATACAAAACCAGCACATTTCCTGTAAATAAGTGCCATGGCTCTGCCTCTCCTTTTGTTTTTCTGAAGAACTCCTAAGAAGTAATCTGGAGGTCATTTTCACTAATTGCCCCAATATTCCAGATGACGTCACCCAAACTTCTGCTTTTGGCAGGCGCTGCTCCTTCTGTGTTACAGAACTTGCCAAAAACCCTGCTGGAGTTCCCTTTTATCTCTTTCTCCACTACTTTGAGCCATGTTTATTGTCCTCTGTAAATACTTATATGTCCTTTTATCATTTTTGCCAGTCAGACTTTAAGCTCTGACCAGCACCTGCGCCATGAGGGGAAAAGCCACACCATGAAAAACCAAGGGTCCACAAAGAAGTCTTGAAACTTGATTCCAATAAAGGCACAGAGATTCCACAGCCATACCCCCGCCATGAGGTTTCTCTCTTCAGGTTTTGGAGAGCGCAGCCTCCTTTTATCCCAAACTCCCTCGCGCATATTGCCCTCTCCCTTTCCCCACTGGCTGAGGTACAGAAAAGGTGCAGCTGTCACAAACCTCCTACCCCATATACTCCTTCAAGCTGTCATTTTCTCCAAAAATTCAGAAGTTCAGGCTGTCCGGGTGATGGAATAGGCTGTGTGGGGACCAATTTCTCGTATTAGCCAAAAGTTCAGGACTTCCCACTTTCTGGTCAAACCACCATGGTTCTGTGACAAACTTCATGTCTTCTTGTGTAGACATACCGAAAGCCATTTTGAAGACACTGACAACAATTTCTCCTAAAGACCCCCAAACCTCTGAGTCATTTTTCAAAGACATCACCACTCATCTTTCCTATAAAATCCTTTCCTGTGATGGTGGTGATGCCCTGGCACAGGCTGCCCAGAGAAGCTCTGGCTGCCCCATCCCTGGCCATGTCCAAGGCCAAGTTGGGCAGAGCCTGGAGCAGCCCAGCCCAGGAGAAGATGTCCCTGTCCATGGCAGGGCTGGGAGCAGACGGGCTTTAAGGTCGCTCCATCCCAAACCATTGCAGAGCCCCCGGGGCCGGGATGGGGCGGGGCGGGCGCTCAGCAGCGCCGGCAGCTCGTGCTGCCGCCTGCTGTTGGCACCTGGAACTGCAGCTGGGGGCGGCGCATGAGCAGTGCTGCTGATTTCCCGCACTCACTGCTGCCCTTCGGTCGACAATTCCTGAACTGCAACTGCCAAAATCCCCAAATCCCAGAATGGGTCAGGCTGGAAGGACTCAGAGTGGGCACCTGGCCCAACCTTCCAGCTCAGGCAGCGACATCCCCGAGACCAGGATTGTGTTCAGAGCAGCCCAGAACTGGACATGGCACTGGGCAGAGCTGGATAGAGCACAGGACAGAGCTGGACACGGCACTCCTGATGTGCCTCCCTGGGCAGGGCAGAGGGGCACGAACACTCCCTGACTTCCTGGCCCTGCTCTTCCCAACATCCCCTGCATCCCTCCAGGCCCCAGGCCACACAGCCAGCTCCACTGGTCACCCACCAACACCCCCAAATCATTCCCCAGAGCTGCCCCAGCAGGTCCCCACCAGCCAGGATGGGCACTGGGGCACTGTCCCCAGGGACAGGACCTGCCCTTGCCCTCTTGAACCTCCCAGTTTCCAGCTGTTAAGGCCCCTGAACTGCAGGATGTGGCAGGATGCTCTGCCTGGAATGTGGCCAAAGGACAATGCCGTATTTCTGGCCATTGGGACAGCATTGAGAGGGGTCTGCTGCTGATTTTGGTGCTGAATTGGGCTTAAACCAGCCCAAATCACCAACCTCAATTTGACAACTGAGGCTGAAGCACCAGACCTGGGCCTGGCCATCCATCAGCTGACC